GGAATGAGGTACACTGGAAATGGAGGATGTAGGAAATTTTGCATTAACATTGTCCCTGCTTACTTGTTCTTGTTCTTTAACAAAATAAGTTAAGTCTGGACAGCTACTGATTTAATATGCTCCTCACAAGTACTGAAAAGTTTACCAAAATCAGAACACAAAAACAGTAAAGATTGTTTTGGATATAATAAATATTCAGTGTTACTTTGACATTAGGGAGACTTAGACCCCAGTGTTTGTTTTATTTAAATCTTAAAACAATGAGTAAAGAAAAGGGAGTATCTTCTGCATGACAAATGCCTAAGCATAGTCTGGATGCAACATGAATCTGCTTAATAATGGATGGTGGGTAATTACTAATGTACACCCTATTTTACATGTAGAAACACTGCTGCTGCAATTGTCAAATCAGACAAATAGCAACCAGAATACACAGTACATGCAATTATGCAACTTGACAGCAGAAATACCTGAACTGTACAAACACACCGACTATGGACGTGTATATGTTTACCTATGGCTTTAATTAACTTTAAAAACAGGTTTTTCATAATTTCCAAAGTTACAGTAGAATAGAAAACAAGACTAAATATAGTTAAACCCAAATTAAAAGATGTTTGTCAAAAATTAATGTTGAAGTGAAGACAAGATAATTATGGACTAATTTATACTGGCTATTTGAATTAGAACAAATGAAAAATGTAGACTTAAGTCAACTGGTCCAATAGATGCTGGTGCTTTGGATCCATGTCATCTTGGATGAAACACCAATTGCTGATTGGTTTACATTTAATTACTTAATAACTTATCAGTGAATGATGATCAATCAGATAAATATAATCTGATCAGAGGTTAGAGAATGTATCCCTGATTCAATGGAATTAAACAAATGTAATACCGTATGTAATGGGGCTGAATCACACTATGTTTATTCATTACTAACTGGTAGCCAAATCAAATTAATGCTATTAAAGAGTCACCAACATGAGCCTATGTAATCTCTTACCTAAACATACTGGGTCACATCATTAGCTAACATGAGAGATTGGCCCAGCTTAATGAAGTGTGTGGAGCTATGCTGAGTTATGCCAGCTTTAATTCTGGTTCAGTTTAAGAAAATGTTAACTCTTGTGCAGTCTGCTTATCAGATTGGAACAGGACAGAAAATTAACCTGGTACTCCCTTCTGGAGCACAGTGGATTCCTCACTTCCTGTGGCCAAAACAAAAGAA